CCCCAAAACCCCAAAACCCCAAAACCCCAAAACCCCAAAACCCCAAAACCCCAAAACCCCTTGTGTCTAAATCCAAACTGAAATTGTAATATTTTCCAAAAATGAAGAAGAGCCTGAAACAATTGAAGCAAGTGAAGGAGATTAAAGAGGAAGTTCAACAAGAAGTAAGTCCTTAATTCCTCGACTATCTAATGTATCCATAGACAAGAGAACAGGCTGAATTCAAAAGAGTTCATGCAAAGAGACTGACAAATCCTGATCTGGAGGATGTCAGGATTCCTGAGATTTATCAGTGGAGTGAAAGAGACAGACAGGATCACTTGACCAGACTCATTAATAAGTAAGGTGTCTGTGTAAATTTTTAGATTTGAAGTAAGCAAACATGCTGAGATTCCTTAGGTTGGCGACCATGTCATTATCCAAAACTATGGCTTCCCTAGAAGATACGGGATTATTAAGAAGATAGGAATTGTAAGAGGCTTTGAAGCATCTATAGGAGGGTGGCCCTGATTTTTATGGAAAATTTTGGTTTGCATCATTCCTTGATTACAGAGAAGCTACAGGTAAGAGAGAAAAGGATAGTTATAGGTCTTGAACCACCAGCCATTAGAGCTCATAATGAATTGGTGTATCACAAGGATCTTGAGAAAGATGATTTGAACAATATTTTAGGATACTGTGAAATTTTAAGGTAGCTCAGTTTTGACATCATGTTTAGAATGCATCAATATGTCAAAAACTATCACTACTATGCTGAGAAGAAGAAGGTAAAATAATATTCCAATTTTTCAGCTTTACTATTAAACTCACTTAATTTTATGATTATTTCCCTTTTCTTTTTATCTGAAGACCTATATAGTTCTATGAACCACCTCCATATGTCTATGTGTTCCGTCAGAAGATACAAGGGGAGATTAGGAGAGGATTTGTTTCTGCTGAAAAGCATCTTGTTCCAGATTTGACTGAAGATTGGTAAGAAGCCTGATAACTCTCTAGATATTGAAGGAGAATAGTCAACCCAAACCAAGTACTTTTTGAGTGTTCTAAAGAATGCAACAACTATTACCATCCTCAGTGTGTCTTACTAGACTCTGAGAGAATCTGCAAAGAATGTCGGATCCCTCTTCCTATTCTTGATATCGTACAGGGAAAGAAGTAAGATCTATTGGTAAATTTTTAGAATCAAATTGGGGAGTGATAGGAGAACACTTATCTTTCGTGAAGATTCTGAATCTGGTAAGTTTCTCGGGTAGTTGAGTTTTAATAATGTTTAGAAGATATTCAATCCTCTCAAGATAATCAATCTTCTCAAGATAGGTACTTCCCGAACTCTAATAGTCTAGCATCCACCTGAGCATTAGTAAAACGACTAGGATTTTGAGTACTTCTGGGAAATCTGAAACCCTATATAACTAAAACATCTACACATTCTTATGGCAATAGGTCTACAGACATAAAGCCTGGTGAAGACCACAAATCTGAAGAGTACGATGTTGCAAAAGGAAAGCATTCCCTGGTAAGAGATCGGTTTGGAGTTATTGCTTACAGCAAGCTTAGAGGGCAAAATATTGCTAAAGTTCTAAACTCCTTCTTTTCTTTAAGTTGAATTTTGTCATGTCCGATTTCCTCTTGCTTATGTGGTGCAAATCCGATTTTTCTTGTATAAAAACAATTTTCAGTTCAAGGTCTCTCTTCCTTTGAACCTTAGTGTTTAAAACTAAGGAATAACTTTTTACTCTGAAATGTTTATCTAGGACTTAAAGCTATATGTAAATTTTATTATTTTCCTTCATACAAAATATCGCTCAATCTTAATATAGCTAAATGAGGATCAAGAAATGAAGGATGTAAGAAGAAAGAGAAGGTCTATGGAAGAAGGTAACTAAAATCTAAATTTTCAAGCAGAGTGATATCTGATTTTTATGTGTACTTAGACACTTTATGTTAAGTCCTACAGAAAGATCAATATTTCTTAAAAATTCAGTGAAGCTTTGTAGAAAAGAATTTAGATTCCTTAGGAGCTTCTGCTCATAGTAAAAGCTTGTTATAGCAAGCTGATATAGCCAATTTTAATCTTCATTATAGAGAAGGAATCAATTGCGGAGAAGGAAAATTTAGCATACCCTGAACTCTCATCCCTAAACAGCGCTAAACTAGCAGTATACTTGGAGAAAAGAGCTAGTAAACTTTATTTGTTAAGGTTTTAGAAAAGAATGAAGGAATGGATGATCCCAACAATAGTGAGCTTCTAAAGGCATCTGTCGAGGTATGTTTTCTTCTAAATATTCTCTAGACTTATGACCAGATCCATGAGCTTTTCATGCTTGAGATAATGAAGTACAAAGGTAAGTCTTCTATTCTTTACAAAATTTGGCTCTTTCTTTTCTTCAAATAATTTGTAATTTTTACAGAAATTTGGATTATAACTCCTTCTAGAAAAATCCAGTGAAAAAGTGGGTAAAATACCTGAGATATTATCCATTGATGGTCTTAAGATCAATTGCTTGATCAATACCAAAGAATCTGATAGGATTGCTACTCATTATTGTGAACAAATAGAGATGCTGTCAAGAGATCTACAGGAGAACTTACCATGGCCTGAGAAGCTAGAAGGTTTCAAGAAGATCAAGATCGCATTGGAGAGGGAACCATCCAATATCCTGAAGATCTTGACAAAGGAGCAACCCCTTAAGACTTTCATTAAGGATGTCCTTGGCTGCTCACAAGATGAAAAGATGGTTTCAACTGAAGAAGAAAAGGACAGAGCGGTAAAATTATCATTTTCTTATTTTTAGTTTCAAAAATATCTCCACTCAGGTGAGCTCCAGAAAGCAAAAGAAGAAGAAATCCTCAAGTCCAGACCAGAGAAAAGCGAAGAGAGAAAAAATAGAGAAGCAGCAAGAGAAATTGAGGCTTTACCTCTTACTTTGGGACATTCACTGAATTTTATTATGGAGAAGATTAGGGATAGAGACTTTGATCATGAATTCAGAGAGGATCTTTTTACTATCGCTTATGATGCTGGAGGAGCCCAATTATCAAAAGTTCCTTTTTACTATAATAATCTCTATGATCCAAGAGGAAACATGATCAAAGAAATCAGACGTAAGAAGAACTTCCAGGAATTTAGCGAAATAGAGAAATACGATCTGATTAAATATGGACTCGATCACCCTAGACATCAAGAAAAATCTAACAGCCAAGGAGATGGCAAAGAATTAGACTTCTGCTCTCTCGACAGAACTATTGAAGACTCTCTTACTACAATTTGTGGTAAGTATATCCCCTCATTATTTAGAAAACTGGAAGGTTGACTTTGCCCTGGAGAATCCTTCTGAAAAAGAGATGTTATCCTCTGAAGAGATAAAAGAATATGAGATCAAGTACAATAAACTCAAGAAGCAAAAGGAAGCACAGGATAAGCTATCAGAGCAAGTAAAGTCTCCTTTCGAACTTGCTGAACAAGAAGAGCAGAAGAGATATGAAGAAGAGGTAGCTAGAAAAAGAGAGGAAAGGCTCAAAAGACTCAAAGAAATTGAAGAAGCCAGAGTGCAACAATCCGTAAAATGGATCAAGCTTGCTAAACGCAGGATTGAACTTCAGAAGAGAGATAGGGAAATGAGACGTCAACAGAGAATTAGAGACCAAATTGAAAAGGAGCAGAAAGAGCAAGAGCAGAAAGAGGCTAAAGTTAAGGATGATGAAGAAGACCTGAAGCTACTTAAAGAGCAAGAATCTTTGGAACTTTTCGGTATAAAAAGAAAAATAAAGTATGGTCCCAGTCTTCCAGAAAAGAAGTCTCCCAAGAAACCTGCTGAGAAAAAGATTGTCCAAGAAAATACAATGTATCTGGACAAAGATTACTATGAGGATGAACGTAGTTTTGTTGCTCTCGATTATGTGACTGCAGATGACGATCCAGAGGCTGCTAGAATTCTATGAGGCCCAATTCCAAAACTGAAGCGTAGCCCACCTAAAAAGAAGAAGTCGAAGAAAAAGTCTAAGAAAAAATCGAAAGAGAAGATTAGAAAGTTGGTGAAGAAGAGACTCTCAAGTAGTAGGCCTTAAGTTATTATATTTAGATAGCCCAAATAAGAAGCATCACAGATAAATAAGTAAAACATAAAACAATTTCAGTATTGTCTAACTTCACAGGGGTTTTGGGGTTTTGGGGTTTTGGGG